GACTATTGATAAAGGCGTCATCAAACTCCACTTCCGGCAACTCGCGTGGGTCTAGGTTTGTTATCACAGCATGCGGGGGGAGCTCGTCAAAGTACTCACTCTCATAGCTGGTAGGAGAGTGGTTCATCTCTTCGTTAAAAGCCCTCTCGACGGCCTGCCACTTCGTCGAATCCCACCCCTCCGCTTTGCACACGCAACGATGCGCAGAGACCCAGCCGGCAGTATACCGGTCAACCAGTTGGCGTAAAGGTCGGTCTGCAGGAACCGATTAACGGCTCGGCGCCTGATTCCCGGCTTGTCGCGCTCCATTTTCTCAACTAACTTGGCTGGCCAGCTGTGCCTTAGCCTCCTTTTCGTCCTTCAGGCTCTGCTCCAGGCTCGCTACCTTCTTTTGCAACAGCTCCTGGTCCGTCAGCTTCCTGTTTAGGTCAGACACTCGCTTCTGCAGGGTCTTCACATCAGATATAACCTTGTCGCGCTCCTTCACGACGACCTTGCAAGCGTCGTCAGCCTTCTTCAGCCTGGTCTCGGCATTATCGGCGGCGCGCTGATAATGCTGGTACATGTGTACCACCTCGACAGCAGAGTTGACGGTCTAATTGACGATAACAGAAATTGTCGTTAGTAAACATTATTTTATAACGTAGGAATGATAGGTATCTAAAGGTAATGATAATGTCTTACCCGGAGCATATTGTTCATAAGCTGGCCACAGGGAGCAGCGATGCGATTGGATGGCCTGTCGGCTGGAGTTGCCAAGTCCTTCAGCACTCTCCACCCCATGCTCCCGCCAGTGCTAGGGTCGTCACTGAGAACCGACTCCCCACGATTAACATTGATTCGGGGATGCCATGGGTCACCGGCAGCACCGACCGGTACAGCCAACTCCTCAGCAACTCCTTTCGGGATTCTGACGTGCGGAATCTCGATGAAATCACTGACAAGAGCAGGGACGAAAGCGCCCTTGACGAGACCGCCAGAGCGCGTCGGGATGACCACCGGAGTCTCCTTGGGAGGAGGCTTGTCGATGCTGGCCAGCTGGCCTGTTTTGGCCCCTAAGGTGAACGTCAGTTTTTTCAGCGGCTAGGTTTCGGTCTCATCTTCCAAGTTAACGACCCCTTCCGGCCAGTTCCCTTGTGCATTCTTTTCGAGGGATGCTGCCTCATTGTCATGATGTTTTTGTTTTTTTGTTGTTGTTGTTCTCGGCCGGAGGACTCAGATGTCCTCTTCGACGCATTTCCTCCACCCCTTTTCACAGCTAGGGTGCGAGGTTTGGTAGCACGGTCGGTAGGAGCCATGTCCTGTACTCTGGTTCTTTTTCTTTTACTGGCTCTGGTGGCGAAGGCGGGGAGAGTGTCGTATGACTTTTTCGGCCGATCGGGGCACTGTTGTTTCACTCGCCCGTCAGGATGCAAGCCTAGTCGGCTGAAGTCGAGTTTCTCAATGCCTGACGAGAGACATACCCGATAAGAAACGTCAAAAATAGACATTATAAAGGTAAACTTAACATAAAAATAAAAACGAAAACGCAAAAATTAATATATATATATATAATGTGTTTAGGTACAGTAAGAGGGAAAATAGGCAAGGTACTTATCGAAATGTTTTTCAGAGGCAAAGTACATGCACAGTAAAGATAAATTTAAATACATGTATATAATTTAATAACATTTCCATACCAAATGCATCGGTATGGACGAGACCGACATGAGACAGAGGGGCGTTGCCCAGTATATAATTACAATGGGGCAACCACACCCCCGGAACGACTTTATTCTTCTTACCGGCTCTAACATATGTACAATTAAACCATTTAAAAGCTTTTTTCTCCATCGGTCCTAACGCTCTCGACCGTATGGTCTCGAACATGCTGTGTGGATGATGAAAAGTCCTACGGACGGTAAAATCGTCAGGCACACTCATAAAATAAAATTCATTCTTCCAGTTCTTGCAACTGGTCAATTTTGGCCACACTGTGCATTTACCGGGAGCGGTAAAAAGGGACCACCATCCGGATGACTGACTATCTCTTTTTATCCAATGTAATCTCCGGAATAAGTTCAGGGTAAGGGGAAAGTCCATAAATATCATAACCCAGACAACAGACACAATATTTCGAATGGTCGGAGGCGTTAACTGTGCAATTGAAACATTCCAAGCCCTGAATATTTTTTCGATGTAATGATGGAGTGGAAACCGTAAACCAAACTCTAAATGTTTTGCATACACAACAATGTGCCCGGCAGGACAGTCCAAAGCCGTTTGACCGTTACTTGGTAGTCTCAGTTCGTAACCATCAGGGAGACGGTAGAAGCGTTTGCCATGTTGGCAATAATCCTTTTCGGTGGCTGTCTGCAACCATACCGGATCCACAACTGACTCAGTTATTTCATAGCTGCTGGGAATTTCTTGAGGTTCCAGATACTTCGAATCATCTGAGTCGTATTCCTCGTCAAGACGTTCCTCTTCTGCAATCTGAGCAGCAAGGTTGAAATCTGTAGCAATTTCCTCGTCGGTCTCGCTGTTCTCACCCTCATCATCTTCCTCCTCCCCTACCTCTTCAGACCCATCTGCATCGTCTTCGTTACCGATGCTTTCACCCCCGCTTTCTTGTCGTTCTAGGCTATCTTTGACTGACCGGATATCTTCTTCTCGGATATCCGAAGCTTCAGACCCAAGGTCAGCCATTTCTTCATCAACGGAAGGTTTACTGCTTTCACCAACCTCACGTTGATAACTGGTGTGTTTCGTTCTCGGCATCCTGTCAATATTAGTGCCGTATTGATTAAATAAATCCAAATTTGACCTCAAATGATATTGAACGCTAATAGGCTCAACATCGGCAATCTCTATGTCCTCTGGAATATCAGGGTTGGTAGGACGCAAAGCTTTCTCGGCGTCAGCTAGAAACTTATGACGGTAATAAGCTTCTCTTTCTTCTACGGAAGTTAGGGGTGTACAGAGTTTAGCCTCATTGGCTTTACCCATGTTTGCATGCATTCCAGAACCAGACATTCACAAATAATGAAATAAACGCAAAATTTACTTAACCACAAACCAGTGAGAAATCGAAAAGAAAGTTAGGGTTTTTTACCTCTTTTTGATTTTAACTCTTGAAAGCGTAACTCGGGAATTAAGTGTCCTCCGTTTACAAACACCGGTCGCAACACAACTGAACAAACCCTTGACAAATTGAGCCTTGAATCGCAGGAATATAAGCGCACTACGAGCGAAGTGAAGTCGAAATTTTTCGAAATTTTTTTCGCAAAGAAATGAAGGGTCAAAGTACGAAATTTACTATTTATACTGTACAAATGAAGCGGTTGATGTGACATTTACTGCATACAATCCAACGGCTGTAATAAAACGCCTTTTCAAAAATAACTTACTTCGATGACTGACACATGCCCCATTACTTTATTACGTTTTCCCGCCAAGTCCTGGGGGATGAATTTTCAAATATGTGAAATTGTCTTCACTCTTGTTTTCGGTTCTCGTATCTTATTGAGCCAAGCCATGTCGGCATTTTGCTCGATAATTGAGCAACGTACTATCGTCAATTTGCTCACTTGGGGGGCAAATTGTAGATTTTTTCACGTCTTATTGAGCAAGGTGCTATCGTCAATTTGCTCACTTGGGGGGCAAATTGTAGATTTTTTCATGTCTTATTGAGCAAGGTGCTATCGTCAATTTGCTCACTTGGGGGACAATTTGTAGATTTTTTCATGTCTTATTGAGCAAGGTGCTATCGTCACTTTGCTCACTTGGGGGCAAATTGTAGATTTTTTCATGTCTTATTGAGCAAGGTGCTATCGTCACTTTGCTCACTTAGGGGCAAATCGTAGATTTTTCTTTTCGTTTTCTAAGCATGCTTGTATGCTGCATTGTACATACCACCACCGTGTTCCATCACAAGTGAGCACGTCAGTTTTACTCACGTCCTCACTTGGGGGGCTAGTTGTACGGGATATACCGGTAGTATCATAATATGCCGGTAAAAGAGTGCCTTGCAGTTTAAAGAAATGGTTAATCATTGAATAATTCATGTCCTTACCGGCATTAGTCTCTACCACGTGGAGAGCTGCTTCTCGGAACGTGGCATGCCCCACTGACACGTGGAGAGCTGCTTAGTGCCGCGTAAGCACCTGCTAGTACCAAGGTCGGTGTGCCACCTATCTGTATAGGTGGCACCTGCTTGGTTGCGTTCCTATAAATACCCAAACAAATTCTCATTTCAAAGGTAGAATCTCTCTCTCTCTCTAAAACACTTTCTCTCTCTTCTTTCACTTTCTTCTCACAAAGGTACTAACTTTAGCATCGGAGTGGTTATTCCTGGATAACCCCCGGGCTAGCTAATCTGTATTGGCTGTGTAGGTGAGCAATTGGACGGTAAACCATTACCAGCCCTCAGACACTAACGGAAGCAGAATCCAGTTGGAACACTATCCACTATAATTTCGATGATGGTTACACAATCATTGACGTTCCCTGTGATAATTTATGTCTTACCATACATGCCTCGATCAATTAAATTGTACAGAATATTAACCAAAGTCCATGATATAATTACCCAATATAATACTCCGTAACATTTCAGTGAATTTCCTATAAAATACTCAAATATCCATGATATAATTAGCCATTATAATAGTCAAATCCTCAAAAAATAAATCCACCGAAATTCATGATATATCAGCCATAATTACAAAATTTCATTCAAATTCTCAAAAACAGCACCAAAATTCAGTTTCTAAATTGCATGAGAATTAGTTCAACAAATGTTAGGAATGATGAGTAATAACAAATTTCAACGATATCTTCATGATTACACACAATGCCAACTATAAATCCCGTAATTTTGACTAAATCAACTCAAAATCAAACACAATCAATCGTAGCACATCAAATTATTCACAATGATCAACCATAATATTACACAAAATAGAATCAAATTACAAAATTTAAAATTCAAAAAAAAAAAAAAAAAAAGGAAAACGTACAGGAAGATTGGGAATGTAATCTGATAAATGAGGAACATCTTCAAGGACGTATCCATTTTCGCCATTGACGACCTTCATGTGGACCTCATTCTCCATTTTCTCTTTCCTAAAATTTTTCGACGGAAAGTTGTGTAAAAAAAAACAGGAAACGACGTTTTTAGAACGCTTTAGAATTTGGGCGCCTCTTGCTGAATTTTTGTAAGTGGGGGAGTACTCCTTCCACAAGAAAACCAGTTGGCAACTTGGCACTGCCGTTGAATTTTTCTTTACCATTATGGTAAAATTTTCGATTTATAATTACGGGTTTGTTTGACATCATTGCGGTTTTCAGTTTTTTCGTTTTTCAAAATCATATGATATATCTCATATAATGAATTAAAAATTAATCAAACTTATCTAAATCATTATTAATTTGATTTATAAATTTGATTTTTGTTTAAAGAAAAAAAAAATGAAAACCAAAAACGATGTCAAACAAGCCATTGTATCAGTTTTGGTAAAGTTATACTTGTATTGTACTTTGTAGTTCGTACGATGATGACTAATACTCAAGCAATTGAGCTATTTGTCATGCTTAATTTAACTATACGAAATAATACAATTTTGTAGATGTAAATTATTTTAGTTGATTAAAGGATTGAGGATTGTACTCGAGATTAGAGATCAAATTTCGTAACAGCGTTGCTCATATGAAAAACAAATTGTTAAAAAAATTAAAAGGAAATATACTACGTACATGCTATTGTGGTGTTGCAGTGAAAAACCACGAGTGTCTACTTCACAAGACTAAAGATTTCTTTTATATTTCAACATCTTGCTTAGGTAGGGCTAGCGAGGGCGCCCAACCCCATTGACTTTTGTAAAGTTGTTAGATAAAATAGATTAGTTACTATAAGTAACCATTGGAAAAAGTTATGGCACATTCAGATTATTAAATTTAAAACTAGAAGATTGAGTGATTAAATAGATAGACCTTTTTTTGTCAAAGAATGATCAAAGATTTAAGATCAACCTAATTTATAGTTTATTCACTTCAGCTTAATTTCAGTTCAGTTCAGTTCAGCTCCAATCAGTTTAGTTCAGTTCGGCTCCAATCAGTTCAGTTCAGCTCAACTCCAAATTTCCTTCTCTCATAAAATATTCATTTCAGCTCTATTTAGTTCAGTTCAATTCAGTTGAGCTCCAAGTCAATTCAGTTCAAGTCCAATCAGTTTAATTCGGTTTTGTAACTGTGAATAGACCCTTATTTTAGGTAAAGCTCTATCAAGGTTCAAACATTGTACCTTGTGAAAAAAAATATATAAAAACAAAAGAAGGTGAAAAACTATCTCTGCATAATCATACCTATGCCCAATCCATGCAACAAAATCATGGGGGAATTTAAAACTAATTAACATTTTTTTGGGACAACAATATTGCAATAAGATGACACACTTAATTGCCAAGGTTTCTCTTTTATTTAAAGAGATGTTGGTTTAGATGGAGGATTGTGCCATGCATGTCCTAGGCTGATAAATTTTAATCAAATGAAATGAAACCAAATTGGCCCATTCTGGCAGTATGTACCACCATATATGATGTATTGATGTATGTTTATCGTCATATATAAATAAATAACAATAGATAAATGATCATGAGTTTAATAATTAATATGAATGCATTTATTTTAATGTTCATTCAAACTTTTAGAAAAATAATATGATAATTTCCTTATGATTGATTGAAAAAACAAGTAACGCAACTACACGGATTATTTTAACTCATGCACACATATTATATTTTGAACAATTAAATACAAAGGGTAAAACAAAGAATAAATGTAAATATAGATTTGTATATATATCATATAATTAACGTTCTGTATTAATATATTATGCAGTAGTCAAATAAAAGTTGATAAAGGCAACCATTTTATATTCTTATGATTCATGACTTCAATTTCATTAAATGGACATACTTTTCAATGTTTGAAGCAAGGAGTGTTTGTTTCTTGTTTACCATAATATTTGTAGTTTGAACTTTTTTATTGTTATAATTTTTTACTTCACCGACATAAAGGTAACAAATTTTACCCGAGATTTGAAAATTTACAAAGTTACCATTATTGTCCAATCCTAACATATGTAAACCTTAATATTTGAGACATTTTTAGAGAAATACTTATCTTTTTCCATTGCACTAGTACATACATGAAGGGTGATTTGCTATCATATTTTCTAATCCATCACAAGAGAGGAAAATTTAAAATTTATCAAATTAGCTAATTATAATTCTTTTAACTAAACATTCTATGAATTATTTGCTAGGACCATTGTTTCACTAAAAGCTTTAAAAATTTCATTTTATTATTTAGATTTGACTAGGGGCATGTTGTTTTCAGCTTAATTTCATTTCAGTTCTTAATTTCCTTCTCTCATAAATAATTCATTTCAGTTCAGTACAGTTCGACTCCAATCAGTTCAGTTCAATTCTGTACATTAGAACATGCCCTAAAACACATAAATATGTTACAGTAAATTATGTCAACACATTAATTATGATTAGTGAAGATAAGTTAAACTTACAACAAAAACTGAATACTAGCCTACTACATATAATATCATGCAATAATTTGTAAAATATATAAGGTCGGTAAGCATGTAATCACTAGTGTGTGGGTTGTGCTTATGTTGATCTCAAGTTTTAAGTACAACCGCTATATATATTACCAACTAAACTACTCCTTAATTGATATTTACACATATAAACATGCGTTAAGTAAACCGAACAAGTGTTTTTTTTTTTTTTTTTTTTTTTGAAACACGAACAAGTGGTTGGTTTTGATTTAGCATAATCAATCGATCAAAAGAAAACCACCAACAAAAATAAAAAACGGAATAACATATATCAATTGACTAAATCAAGATCCGTCAAAGCAACAACTTCGATTATTCCCATAATCGCCTCCATTATTTATTCCTTTTCTTTTAATTAGTGATGCAACAACATCCACCACCAAAGTAAAAGCTAAAAATAGGCAAATACATGGAAAAACCAACAATATTCACGGCAAAAATTTTGGAGTTTGTGACCCAAATCATATGTTCTTCTTACACCCTGACATACTCCCACCATCCGCTTCATTCTTACGCCAACTTTTTTGTCCCTTAATTCGAATCTCATCTCCCTCTATTTCTCTCCCATTTCTCACCATCTTTCTCTCATTCTCATTCTCTCTCCTATTTTCAGAACAACCCCAGAAATTTCTCTGATCAAAGAAGAAGAAAGATGTCGTGGCAAACTTACGTTGATGATCACTTGATGTGTGAGATTGAAGGGACTGGGCATTATCTTACTGCTGCTGCAATTCTGGGTATTGATGGAAGTGTTTGGGCTCAGAGTTCTACCTTTCCTCAGGTTGAATTTTATGCTTTTTCTTTGTTAATTTTGGTGGGTTTTTTGGATTAAATTTGGGTTTAATTTTATGTGGGTATGATTGTTTTTTTATTGATCTGATGTTTTGATTTTCTGGGTCATTTTGTTTTGATGATAATTGTGATGGGTTGGCTTTGATTTTTGTTTTCAGTTTTGTTAATTTGATTTAATCATGGTTTAGGTTTTGTATATGGTGTTTGTTGAATTTGAATTGCTTGGATCAAGGAATTCTGGAATTGTTGTTGGTTTGATTTTGTGTTGATTTGATTTAATTATATGGGTGTGAATGTGTGATCCTATTAGTAGGGCGGAGGAATTGTTATGTGATTGTTGAATGAATGGGTAATTACATACATAAAGATGATATTTTTGTGGAATTTGTTGTTGCAAATTTTTATTAAAAGCGACGGAAATGTAACTGGTTCACTGTTATTCTCTTATGTGTTTATGTCCTCTGATATAATGGGACTTGATTATAATTTTGATGTGGTTTGTGTTTCATGGAATTACAGTTTAAGCCAGATGAAATAGCTGCGGTTGTGAAGGATTTCGAGGAGCCCGGTACCCTTGCACCGACCGGGTTGCACCTTGGTGGAGCTAAGTACATGGTTATACAAGGTGAACCTGGGGCTGTTATTCGTGGAAAGAAGGTATAGAATGATAAAGATTGATTCTTGATGGTTTGATCTGAGTTTGAGTTCGAGTTTTGCTGTGTGTTTTGTTTTTTTCTTTGCTCATCCCGTTGCATGCCACTTTTCATATGGTCTAGAGGTGTTCTTGGAAATAGAATCTGGTACATAAGGAATCATTAATGTTTAGATGTCCTGTTTTCTCTTTCAAGATGTCACGGTATTAGATTCGGTGAGCTGAAGTTCGGAGTAGCATTTATCTTTGTCTGGAATATGTTTGAACTACTATGACCTTATTGTTACGGATTTGTGCTTTGATAGTTGAACATATGGGCAGGCTTTAAAATTAAATTGTTTTGATGAATTTGATGGTTCTAGTGTTTCTAAATTGCTGATTGGTAATGAATTTCATGTGATCATACTTGTCTCGGAGTGCATTCTTCTTTATTTAGGTATGATAGGGGATTGATTATCATTGATCTAAAGTATGGTAATTAAAGAAAAGCAATTACCAACAAAGACAAAGTTGTAGGAAGACCAAGACCTCAAAAGTTAAATTTATGACGTAGTGCAATTCCTTGCTATCAACATAATTCTATGATCAATATTTGATGCTAGATATGCTCCATTATTAAACACAAGTATGATTTTATTCTCCCCTTTTCTGTAGCAATATTGTTTTAAACTAGGAAATAAATCCAGAAAGTTCGCTCCACTATTAAAAGTAGCGACCACAGCTACTATAGTACTTAGCTTATAAGGAAACAAAAAAAGTTAAATCTGAAAATGAAAATTATTAGAAAAGTTTCTATGCGACTATGCAACCTGAAAATGATCCTTAAAAATTAGCCTATGGAGTTGGGAGCAGTCACTACTCACTAGCTTTACATATTCAATGTGATTAAACCTGCCTTCTTTATCTAAACTTAATTAGACTGAATTTTAGAAACTTCTTGTTGGTAGATAGTAGATTGGATAATCTAATGTATCAGACTGAATACTTTGTAAGGTCTCATGCCTTTGGAAATAACAATCAAAAAACAAAATGTGGGTGTCTACCCAACAAGTGCCGTCTCACTGAAAGGCTTAGTGTGTGGGTTGTGCTTATGTTGATGATTAATTTTGTCCTAATCAAGTTTTGTGCCTTTTTGTTGTTTAAATCATACTGTCTTGTGCTCTGTTGTACATAATGAAAGCTGGATTTTTCTTCTGTTTCAAATGTTGCACCACATGAATTTCTGTGGCCTTAGATAAATGTCAAAAGAC